CTCAGGCATGCTGCCATCACATCCAGCAAGTGTCTTTGAAAAAAAAAAAACACTTGGTAAGCAGACTTTCTACTGCATAGAAACTTTTTCCTTTGATTGAGATAACTTAATAATATTCCTCGGTCCTATAGGGGTAAGACTCTGGCATAGGAGATTGCTCAAAGAACATTGTTCAGATTGCAGATATGTTTCAGTACCCAAGAACCTGCAATAAGGGGTCTGTTCTAAGTCTTTTTAACATTTAGGGGATTGTGATTAAGACCCAAACGCACTCTTTTTTCCTTTGTCTACATGGTTTTACTGTCAGACCATTAATGATAGAACTACTCTTTCAGAATAGTGCCTCCTGTCTTCAGAAAATGAATTATGTTCTACTGTGTGTGAGACAGTATTATTTTAGAAGAAACATGAAAAACAGAACCTTAAGCTTACGTGGTGTCATATTCTTATAATCCCAGCACTGGGGAAAGTTAGGTAAGAAAGTCAAGAATTTGAGGTCACCCTGGACTACATAGCTAGACCCTATTTCAAAAATACAGCAAAAATGCTGGATATGGTAGCACAGCACTTGGGAGGCAGAGACAGGCGGATCTCTATTAGCTGGAGGCCAGCCTCATTTACATAGCACGTTCTAGGCCAGGTGGGTCTACCTGGAGAGCTTATCTGAAAACAAAAGCAAAAATGAACTGGAGAAATGACTCAGCTATTAAGAGCACTGACTGCTGTTGTAGAAGTCCTGGATTCAAATCCCAGCACCCACTTGGTGGCTAACAACCATACCTTCAGTTCTAGGGCATCCATGCCCTCTTCTGACCTCCACGGGCACTGCATGACATGGGTGCAGTTACATATATGCAGATATAACATACACATAAAATAACTTTTTTGGGGGGCGGGGTCTTTTTGGGACAGGAGCCCCAGCAGGCCTGGAACTCACTATGTAGACCAGGCTGGCCTCGAGCTCACAGAGGTCTGCCTGCCTCTCCCTCCCAAGTGCTGGGATTAAAGGCGTGCGACACCATGACTGGCTAAAATAACCTTTTTTTTTTTTTTTTGCCTTTTGAGACGGGCTCCCTGTAGCCCCAGATGGCCTAAAACTCAGTGTAGACCAGGCTGGCCTCGAACTCACAAAGATCCACCTGCATCTGCCTCCCTAGTGCTGGGATTAAACCATGCCTGTCATAATAATTTTTTTTTTTGTCTTTTTTGAGACAGGGTCTCCCTGTAGCCCCAGCTTTCCTGGATTCACCGTGGAGACCAGGCTGGCCTCGAACTCTCAGAGATCTGCCTGCCTCTGCCTCCCGAGTGCTGGGATTAAAGGCATGCACCACCACACTCGGCAAAATAACAATTTTTTTAAAACCCCCAAACAACAACAAAATGGCAAATGAATTCCTGTCTTGCTTTTGATTTTACAGTGGCAGGAGAATCAGTATTGTATAGTACCTCCTCTAAATAATTATTAGTCTAAACTGTGCCTGTAGTCCCAACACTTGGGAGACAAGAGGCAAGCAGATCTTTGTGAGTTGGAAGCCAGCCTGGTCTGCATAGTGAGTTCCAGTGGGAACTACATAGGGAAATTTTGTCATTATAAAAAAAAAAAAAAAAAGATTGTTCTAGGTTGTGGACATTAGAATCATCAGGTGAATATTGTTTTATTTGCCTGTGAATGCTGGGATTATAGGTATGCATCACTATGCTGACCTTACTAGGGTAATTTTGTTTTGGGGAGATGGTGTACTTACCATGTAGTTGAGAATGACCTTGAACTTGTACCATTCCTGCCTTCACCTTGGCATTGCTGGGATTATAGGAATGAGCCTCCATGCCCAGTTTTCATGAGGATTGGAGATCAAACCGAGGCTTTCTATGTGGTATGTAAACACTCTACCAACTGAGTTAAATTCCAGGCCCTCATCTTAGAATACCATTTAAATAATCATCTCTTGTGAATAGGACTGAGACATGGGTGTCTTGTAGCAGTTCACATGATTTTTTTTTTTTTTGGTCTTTTTGAGACAGGGTCTCCCTGTAGCCCCACCGGGCCTGGAACTCACTGTGTAGACCAGGCTGGCCTTGAACTCACAGAGATCCACCTGCTTCTGCCTCCTGAGTGCTGGGACTAAAAGGCATGTTCCACCACGCCTGGCTTAGTTCACATGATTTTTAAGGTTTAGCTGTTTGTTTAATTTTGGGGCTTTTTTGTTGTTGTTGTTGTTGGGGTTTTTGTTTTTTGTTTTTTTATCTTTTCGAGACGGGGTCTCCCTGTAGCCCCAGCTATCCCAGAACTCACTATGTAGACTGGATCGGCTATTAACTCACAAAGATCCATCTGCCTCCCAAGTGCTGGGATTAAAGGGGTACACCACCATGCCTGGCTCAGGTTGAGGTCTTATATGCCTAGCTGAGTAGCCAGTGCTTTTAACCTTTTAACCTCTTTCTTGCTTGCTAAGTGATCTCTCTGGCAACCCAGAGCAGTGATTTTTAAAATGCAGTTGCACAGTAGTATAAATCTGTAATCCCAGCAGTTGAAAGAGCAGAAGGATCAGTTTAAGATCAATTTGGGACATATAAGACCTCATCTTGAGCCAGGTGTGGTGGCACATGCCTTTAATTCTAGCAATAGGGAGACAGAGGCAGGGATTTCTCTGTGAGTTTAAGGTCAGCCTGGTCTACATAGTGAGTTCCAAGCCAGCTAAGGCTACAGAGAAACCCTGTCTCAAAAAAACAGGAAAAAGCACTGGGTACTCTTGCAGAGAACCCAAGTTCCATTCCCAGCACCCACATGGCAGCCAATAGCTGTCTAAGCTTCAGTTTCCAGAGATCTGACACTGCCTTCTGGCTTCCATGCGCATTGCAGGACATGGTATAGTACGTATGTGGGAAAAATACTCTCACACTTAAAATTAACTAAAACAATATATGTGTTTAAAAAAGAATCACTGATCAGAGCGTGCTTTGGTAGCACATGCCTTTAGTCCCAGCACTTGGGAGGCAGAGACGGGTGGATCTCTGAGTTCAAGGCCAGCCTGTTCTACATAGGGAGTTCCAGGCCAGCTGGGGCTATAGGGAGACCCTGTCACAAAAAGACCAAAAATATATATATATATATATTCACTGATCTGGGCATGCAATCTACAGATTGAAGCAGTACTTTGAAAAGAAAATTATCTCTTTACTTGAGGAGTTTTAAAAAGACTGATAATTAGACTGCATCCCTTGGAGAGATTCTAGTTTAAGCTTGATTATTGATGTTACAGGTAAGTTGTAGAGTCTTACTTTTAGTCCTAGCTGATCTTGGAGTTGCCAAGTAGCTCAGACTGGTCTCCAACTTGAGGCAACCTTGCCTCGACTTCTCATGTACTGATGATACAATCGTGTACCACATGATCAGTTTATATTGGTAGTTTTGTGGTTTTTTTTGAAACAGGATCTCACTATGTAACCCTAGCTGCCCTGGAACTCATAGAGATCTACCTGCCCCTACCTCTGCCTCCAGAGTGCTGGAATTGCTGGCGTTTTTCATGCGCCACCACACCTGGCCTCTATATTGGTGCTAAAAGAATCTAGGGCCAGTGAGATGGGTCAGTGGGTAGTTTGCTTGCCAGGAAGCCTGAATTCAGTCCCCTCAGATCCACATAGTGAAAGGAGTGTAACTGACTCCTGCAAGTTGTCTTCTGAATTCCACCTGCATGCTACGATGCTCCCTCTCATCCATACAGTCATACACAGTAAATAAATGTAAAAAGAAAGATTAAAAAGTAAAATAAGAAATGTAAAAAGAAAGATTAAAGGCACACACGCCTTTAATCCCAGCACTCAGGAGGCAGAGGAAGGCAAATTTCTGTGAGTTCAAGGCCAGCTATAGAGGCTATAGAGGGGCTATAGAGAGACCCTGTCTCAAAAAGGCAGAAAAAAAGAAAGATCCAAAGTGCAGTCAGAGTGGACATGACAGAATTTGCATTGGCCCAGTTCCGTTGCTCCTCTGCTGTCCCTGCAGTAGGATAAACTCTACAGGTGACTCAGCAGTTAAGAATACTAGCTTTTCTTGGGGGCTGGAGAGATGGCTCAGCGGTCTCTCCAGTGCTCTTAAGAGCACTGCTCTTGCAGAGGAGCCAAGTTTGATTCCCAGCACCCACATGGTGGTTACGACTCCTGTTCCAGGGGAATCCAAAGCCCTCTTCTGACCTCTGTGGCATTGCATGACATGGGTGAACTCACATACATGCAGACAGTATACTCATACACGTAAAATAAAAATAAAAAGTACTAGCGTTTCTTGAAAAGGACCCAGGTTTGGTTCCCAGTCCATACATTGCAGCTAACAACCATCCATAACTCCAGTTCTAGGGGATCTGATGGTCTCTTCTGACCTCTGTGGGCATTGCATTGACATGGGTGTACTTCCATACGTGCACACAAGACAGTCATATACATAAAATTAAAATAATTTTTTTTAAAGAAAAAAAGATAACCTCTCCAAAACTTGAAAGTAGGGGACAGCAAAAAGAGGGTTGTGTCTTTGTCTCACCATGTAGCCCTGACTGGCCTAGAACTCAAAGAGACCCTGCCTACCTCTTCTTTTGAGTGCTAGGATTACAGACTTGTGCCACCATGCCCAACTAAGAGTTTTGTGTTGTGTTTTGTTTTGTTTTGTTCTGTTTAAATGAGCATTAAGTAATGTTTTCCTGTCATTTTTGCCAAAGAACCTGTGTTGACATATTCTCATGGTTTCTCTTTCACAGGCTCAAACTGTTCAGGTCGCTGAAGTCGAACCACAGTCACAACCACAGCCTTCCCCAGAACTTTTGCTTCCAAATTCTTTGAAGCCAGAAGAAGGGCTTGAAGTATGGAAAAACTGGGCTCAGACCAAGAATGCTGAACTTGAGAAGGATGCTCAAAACAGATTGGCACCCATTGGGAGTGAGTGTTTGGGAGGGAAAGGAGGATGGGATGTCCCTATGTAAGTAGCAGAAAGAATGGCAGACAAGGAGTGTCCTGGCTCTGGGGACTAAGGACTATACTCTGAAATCACATTCTATGTCATCATAACTCCCAGTAAGCAATCCTAACCCAACGTGTAGATGAGCAGAATTTGTGGGATTTGCCCAAGACCGAGTATTTTTTTAACCCATGAGGTTTTAGGTACTACAAAGGAGACCCGGAAAGAATGGCTGGGAAAAAAATAGGAAGTATTAGTGAGTATGCTCAAGGCCCTTATTTCTTGGTTTGGGTGGGCTCATATGCTTGCTCATATTACAGAGTGTAATTTCTTGGTTTTTCTGTTCATTTCTTGGCTCTTAGAGATAGGAAACCTAATTGGTGTATAACAGGCGATTACTGCAGTTTTTGTTGTTGTTTTTTTTTTGTGTTTGTTTTTGTCTTTTTGAAGCAGGGTCTCCCTGTAGCCCCAGCTGTCCTGGAATTCACCATGTAGACCAAGCTGGCCTTGAACTCAGAGATCCGCCTGTCTCTGCCTCCCAAGTGTTGGGACTTCAGGTGTGCACCACCACGCCCGGCTTACTACAGTTCTGATCACAGATGTCAGTGGCCACTCCTTGCCCAGTACCCTGATAGGCAGTATCTGATCTGAAACTTTGAAGAATGTGAGAAACTAGTAAACAGGTCACTGTTTCCAGGACCCCCATTCACCCTTAGGACTTGTGTCATAGGACGCCAGCTGCTGCGATTCCAGGAAGATCTCATCTCCTCTGCTGTGGCTGAGTTGAATTATGGACTCTGTTTAATGACACGGGAAGCTCGAAATGGAGACGGTGAACCCTATGACCCAGATGTACTCTACTACATTTTCTTGTGCATTCAAAAGGTAAGAAGCAGATCTTCATAGAGACATGTTTGACCTTTGTTCCCATTGGATGTTTTCTGGAGTCTAATTTAGGAAAATGACAAGAAGTGAAAAAAAAATTTTATTTTAAGGGCTGGAGAGATGGCTTTGCTGTTAAGAGCATTGGCTCCTCTTGCAGAGGACCTGAGTTCAGTTCCCAGCACCACATGAAGGCTAACAACTGTCAGTGACTCCAGTTCCAGGGGTATCCAACGCCCTCTTATGGCCTCTGTGGTCATTTCAGGATACAGGTCCACTTAAATTTATGCAAGCAGAGCACTCATACATAAAATAAAAATACAATTTTATTTTATTTTATTTTTTTGGAGCTGGGTAAATAGTTTTTTAATGTGTAAAAATATGGACCGCTTCATGAATTTGTGCCATCCTTGCGCAGGGGCCATGCTAATCTTCTCTGTATTGTTCCAATTTTAGTATATATGCTGCTGAAGCGAGCACTACAATTTTTTTAAAAAAGAGTTTTCTTTGGGCTGGAGAGATGGCTCATCAGTCAAGAACACTGGTTGTTCTTACAAAGGACCTGGGTTCGATTCCCAGCATCCACCTGGCAGCTAACAATCATCTGTAACTCCAGGGAATCCGGTGTCCCCTTCTGACCTCCAAGGGCATTGCGTGGCACAGGTGTACCTGCCTACATACAGGCAATACATGCATACACATAAAATGAATAATTTTTAAAAAGTGAATTTTAGAACAAACTTTTATTTTTGTTAAAGGCCTATATGATCACTTTAGAAAACAGTAAGCCAATAAGTATAATCTATTACCCTACCACTTTGGAAATTCTTGTGTTAATATATTTCATGAGGGCCAGTGAGGTGGCGTGGTAGGTAAAAGTTCTTATTGTACAAGCCTGGCAGCCTTAGTTTGATCCCTAAAACCAACAGTGAAATGAAAGAATAGACTCTGGAAAGAGGTCCTCAGACTACTATTAATAGTAATAATGATTGTGTTTTTTAATTTATCTTTATTTTGTGTGTACAGATGTTTTGCCTGCATGTATGTAAGTGTACCCGTGTTGTGCAGTGCCTGCAAAGATCAGAAGAGGGTGACAAATCATCCTCCTGGAACTTTAACTATAGATGGTTGTTATTTGCTATGTGGGTGCTGGGAATTGAACCCAGGTCCTCTGTAAGAGCAGCCAGTACTCTTAACCACCAGGCCATCTCTCCAACCCCAAATTATGGTTATCTTTGTGTCTGTGTGTCTCTCTTTGAGACAGGGTCTCCCTGTAGCCCCAGCTGGCCTGGAACTCACTGTATAGATCAGGCTGGCCTGGAACTCAGAGATCTATCTGCCTCTGCCCGCCTCCCCTCTCCCTAAGTGCTGGGACTAAAGGTGTGTACCACCACACCCAGCCATAATGGTTATCTTAACAGCTTTTTATTTTAAATCACAAAGCATTTGTTTAACACTTTTTGTTAAAGTTTGTAAATTATGTAAAATTATTTAAAACATTGAAGCTGGGGAGATGGCTCAGCAATTGAGAACACTGTTCTTGCAGAAGACCAGGGTTCCAATCCCAGCACCCATATGTCAGCTAACAGCTGTCTGTAACTAGAGTTCCAGGGGATCCAACAGCCCCTTCTGTCTTCTTCAGGCATTGCACGACACAGTTGCAATTACCTACATGCAGGCAATACACGCATACACATTATTTTTTTTTTTTTTTAATTATTTAAAGTCTGTTGCTAGCATATAGCTGCTTTTTTTTTTTTTTTTTTTTTTTTTTTTTAGACAGGGTCTCCCTGTAGTCCCAGCTGATCTGGAACTTACTGGTAGACCACGCTGGCCTTGAACTCACAGATATTCACCTGCCTCTGCCTAGCAAGTGCTGGGATTAAAGGCATGTACTACCATGCCTGGCTGCATATAGCTTTTCTTATTGTACTTTATATTCATACAAAAACAATGATTTCTCCAGGCATGGTAGCACATGCCTTTAATCCCAGCACTCAGGAGGCAGAGGCAGGCGGAGCTCTGTGAGTTCAAGGCCAGCCTGGTCTACATAGTTCCAGGACAGCTGGAGCTACAGGGAGACCCTGCAATCTAGTTGGAATTTCAGGATATCTAAGAAAAAGCATAACAAAGAAACTTATAGACGGACAGGATTTGGGGAGTAGAGGTACATTGCTCAGTGTTTGAAAGTTCTTGAGGAGAATCCCACAGTATAATTGTAGAAGGCTTGCTTGTTTGAACTTACCCTATTGCCTGGTTCTGAGAAAACTCTGCTTCCTAGATGGTTTCTTTTTCTTTCTGGTCCTAACTCAGGCACCATCTGAATTACTTTATATGCTCTGTCTCATGTTGTGTTCAGTCATAGAAGGCAGACATAGTCACCTATATTTACAAATACTGAAATTAAAAGACCAATATAAGTTAACACAGTACCCTAATGAGAAGCTGACTCCCAGAACCTATTCATGATTTTTACTGTGCTTGTGTGAAATAATATTCACAAAATACCTTTCATTGATCTAACTCAATAATACAATATTACAGGATTTTAAGTATGCTGTAGAAACGCACATGCTGGACAGTTTTGGCCTGGTGCTTT